ATGGGGTGAGGCATTGGCAACACAAAAGCCCCTCGCAGAGATGCAGTTGAATGTTCACAAGAGGATAGGTCTGGACGGTTAAATATTTTAAAATACACTAAACTGTCTACACACAGACATTGCAATGCAAATACGCATCTATGGCGAGAAGTAAATATTGCTCTTAGTGTACATGAGAGCTCTTTTTGTCTTCAGTGAATGAGACGAAATGCAAAATAACAGGAAAAGGTACTTGCATGTTTATTGGAAGGGCGGATTTGTATGTTGTGTGCCATTCACAAGTACACAGTACATATTCGATGTAATTGCATTAGGAGATTTGACAATGAGTTTGTGTGTGTGTTTAGGGGGCTGTCATCAAATCCATCCCATGGTATTCTCATTATGGGGATTGTGTAAATAATTTTCTTTGGAATTTACACTAGCTGGCGTGATGTGCTGCTGCTTTCTAAATAACTGGACCAGTGTAAACAGTCTTTGTATTTGTTTGGAGCAGCTATAGTGCACTGATGAGTGCTGAATGATAATCAGCTAAGCAAATGTTTGATCAAGCATGAACACTTTCTTGAGAAAGGCACCATGGAGTTATCATGAAAGTCATCTGGGTGTATATCTGGAGGTTCAGACACAGAATGTAGAAGAACAATCAGGCGCACAAGTTTTTGGGCTTTGTTTAATTGGTCTTTGAGGGGCTGCTGCTCTGATTTGAGTTGCTTTAATACATCTGTGTGAATTTGCTCAAAAAAAGGGGGAAAAAAATGCACATCTTAAAGGGGTCATTTTATGCATGAAGAATCACATTTATATTGATCTTTAATTAAGTGTAGCATGATGGATTTAAAAAAATAAAATCATAATAAAATTGTACACTACTGTTTATAAGATTGGGGTTGGTAAAAAGAAGTCTCTTATACTCACCAAGGCTGCATCTATTTGATCAAATATACATTAAAAACAGTAATACTGTAAAACATATTTCCAACTGAAGCATTTTTTCATTACACCAAATACACAAAATAATGTTCTTTTTAGCAACATCATATGACCCCTTTAATACTGGTTTGATTGACTGAGAGATTTGTTGGGACAACAACAGTAGGAATGCACATGTTCTGCTAGTGCCATAAACACAAATTGACAGTACTTTGCACATTTTGTTTTTATTTAATGTATAAATAAAATATAGTTGTAATTTTAGTTTTATAAAAACAAAGCAAAATTAATCTTGTCGAGTACCCTGTAGCCCTGGTTGGGAGTCACTAGCCTTTCACTGGCTTTTAGCACCTGCTTGGTTATTGACATAAATAGTGTTTGGAGCATGTACCTTATCATCAGGCCTTTGATAAATGAGCTTAGGTCTCACATCTATGCCTTTTTGTAACTATAGTGTCACACTAAGCATACAGATTGTTAATCACATGGTGATAAGGAGAGGCGAGAGCACCAGGCAAATTATTAAACTTGGAAATTAAAGGCACTGAATGCTGGAGACCCAACTGAAGCCACAAGATTTTAATCTTGCATGCTATCAAGCAAAGATGTGTATGCAGATGTGGGCTAATATTGTTAAAACAAAAGATGCTTTAACCTTATTTTAGGGTACCACAGCCATCATTCTTTGAAGCATGTGAAGCTTATCAGGAGGAGAGACTTATCATTATTTGTCTGGTGAAGCATGGTGGCCCAGGGGGACAGCTGAAGAATGGCATACAGCGGGCAGGCCTAAAATGGCAGGAATGGAATCCAGAGTGACACCCTAGCTTTTGTGTGACCTTTTTCAGAGGGTCATCACCGTGTGCTGTCACTCTGTGTTTCCCTCAAACTAACTGTACCTGTGGTTTTGAGCATTGGGGAAAACTGGAGTGGATTTAAGGTGCATTTACAAAATCGCTGAATGACTCCAGCAATAATTTTGTGAAGATCACAAAATAAAAATAATATGTACATTACCAGATTTATTTTTAAAGAATTTGATTATTTTATTCAGCAGGGACACATTAAATTGAACAAAATTGACATTAAAGACACATTTACATTGTTACAAGAGATTTTTCATTTTAGATAAATGCAGCCCCGAGTAAAAATAAAAAGTAATATATTTCTTAAAGCATCTTGGAGTCATTGCCACAATTCTTCTGGATTTATTTCATACTAAGTATAGTTCAAATCTATTAACATTATTTACAGACACATCGCTCAAGGCTTACTGATATAGAAATTATAATTAAACATATAATTATTTGGAGTACTATTTGTGCACAATGCACATTTCTTAATATTAAGCCTAAAATGTGTTGTCACTATTGATAAGGACTGTATGATCTTGTAATTTAATTAAGTACATAAATATGTAAATGTATTTGTAGTGTTATACTTAGCATGAAATAAATGTATTTCAAATACATTTTAGTATATTTATTTTTCACTAGGGGCCCTTTTAAGCTTTCTGTTCATCGAAGAATCCTGAAATAAGGAAAAAATATTAAGCAGCACAGATGTATTCAGCATCGATAATAAAGCTCCAAATAAGCATATTAGAATGATTTCTGAAGGATCATGTGTCACTGAAGACTCAAGTAATGATGCTGAAAATTCAGCTTCGCATCACAGGAATCAATTACATCTCTGTGTTTCATGTATTTTTGATCAAATGAATGCAGCCTTGGTGAGCATAAAAAACTCCTTTCCAAAACATTAAACAATCTTACAAACCCCAAACATGTAAATAAAAACGTAAAAAATAAATAAATATGTTGAAACACTGTCAAATGATTCACAGAATGGTTCTCATCAATAATTTACAACAAAATACAATATGTAAATAAAAAAGCAAACTGAATGAATATCAAAGTGGCACTTCATTAATTATGTACAATGTATAACTGTAATATAAATACGTTTTATTTAATGAAAGCCATGGTTAATAGCACTTGTGAACAGGATAAACACTAATGGTCTTTACTGCCATTTTGGAAAGTTTTTAATGAAAATGACACCCTAACTAGAAGGTGGGGTGGGCAGTGGGCAGTGGGCAATCTGAAATGAAGCCAAATAGTGAGGTCATAACTGTCCATTCTGATAACAAACCTCATAAGATAATGAGACAACACAGCTGATCAGCAGGAAATAAACATGGAATCACAAACATCTAATCAGCCACCAGCCTCCATCCCAGTTGAGAAAGCGACTTGATTATTTAGATTACGTTGGGAGGCCTGAATAAATTCAGAAAGCCACCCACAAAGAGGGCCTCTATCAGACCAGCTCCTCAAACAAGCAGAAGCCATGGAGATATGAGACGCCTCACAACAATGGAAGTGTGGCTGAGAGATATAGGAACTTCAGGAGCGTATTTGCTTACAAGACCCCTGGCCAGCACCAGCGCACAGAAAATACTCACTGACCACACACAGGTTCACCAAATCACTGTTTGTTTAATCGTCGTACGTTACAGGACTAATCTTTGTCTTATCTCCTATTTTTAGACATCACTAATGAATTTCTTCAAAAAGGGAGTCAGAGCGTGAATGTGGAATAAAACTCTCTCTCTTAGATGCTTAGGCTGCAGGACTGAGGAGTACAGTGCTCAGAGCTGGGTGTGTTTTGGGTTTGTGTGATGAAGTTTGAGGGGGGTGTTGGCCCTCGGCCGAGACGGATGACTATTGTGTGTGTAAGAAGTGTGTGCGGAGGGTGCTGGGCAATTTAAGACAGCGTTTAGCATGCAGAGCCAGACAGGGTAAATCAACCTGACTGCACACAATCATGAGCCGAGAGACAGAGTGAAACCAAAACCAAACCAAAAAGAGAGAGAAAAAAGGAGGAGAAAAGACATTTTTGTAAAGAATCAAGGGAATCTTGTCAATGTAAGGCGTGAAATCCAAGACTAAAAAAATTGTATGTCAGAATATTGTTGGGTTATTTATACTTAGATAATAGGTTGTTGTTTTCCATCTAAAATGCACAAATAGCACTGGGATTGACAGGTTCCTTCTTTGAGAACTTTTCTATACTCTTAAAAATAAAGGTTATTTCTTGGCATCTATAGTTTCATGAAGACCCTTTAACATCCATGGAACATTTTCATTGCTCAGAATGTTCTTTATAGTGAAAAACTACTGTTGTTTAGATTATTAAAAATGTTTTTCATACTAAAAAAAACAGGAACTGTTTACTGATTTATTGGTTTATTGGGGACCCCAAAATGGTTCTTCTGTGGTATCACTGTGAAACCCCCCTTTGTGTTTAAGAGTGTATGATCTCCAAAATGAGAACTTAAAAAAAAGAGATAGAGTCTAGATGGAAAAAAAAAACAAGAATGACTGAAAGATTAAAATTAGTCTGAATGAGGCCCGCACCCGGCCCCTTTCATTTGCCACTGGACCCAAATCAGGCTTTTGTGTGGGACTCTGTAAAGTAGTGTCAATCATTCTGCTGGTGTTTTATTAGAGAGGAGAATTTTTTATGAATTTACTCTTCACAAATTAAAAGGACCTCCTGCTCTAAGTGCTGAAAAAAGGCAATACAGACTGAAGTTAGACATCACAATGCCACTCGTACACTGGAGCGACATCAAAGTGCCCAAGACATCCAATCAGATTTATGTTGAAGGCATTATGTGATGAATATGGTGTAGCCCTCACACAAAAGTGCTTTTGTGTCACTTAAATCAGAGGCCATTCAAAATCAGCACGGGTCTGTCTGATTGGACGATGGCGAAAGGCCTTACAGCACATCCAAACTTCACACGCACAATAGAAAATGCTCATTTTCATGCACTCAGAACCTTAGTGCTTGGTTGACTCACATTTGGGGCACTTTGAAGGATGTCATTTGAAGCAAGAATGGGGCAGCTTTTTGCCTGGTTTAAATGGGAAAAGTTAGAATTGCACAAACCTAAACCGATCTCCTTATCTTTGCTGATAAGACCCCTGTATATATGCTAAAACCAAAAGAAAAAAAGTGAACAGGAAAACTGACATTGGTAGGAAATTTTGGATGCCCTCCAGGACAGTTAGTTCATCACCATTAGTCTTCTGCTGACGTCTATTCACAGCCTCCATAGGTTGGGACGGACACATTGGTTACACCACAAAGGTATTCAGGGGTTATAAATTGCTTTACTCTTGAACTTTTTGTTGTTGCTTAAAAATTAACTGTTCACATATACTGTATCCCAAGGTTGTGTCCCATCTACAGCTGCCTGCCACCTTCCTTTGTGGTTATACAGTAAATGACTCCATTAATTAAACCATGTTGACACTTCTCAAAGCCATTTCTTTTATGAAAGATAAAGCAGTTGTAAATAAAAGAAAGACTATTGGAATATGTTTTACAAGAAAATACTATTTCAGTTTTCTGCTTTGAAATTTCACATTTTGTTCAATGTGTTTTTTGTAATTGACTGTGAAATTTACTAGCAATTTCTAGGTAAAAATGGTTTGTACAATTGTTTCAGTGTGTTTGTAGTGGTTATTTCAAAATAAATCAGTGCTATGTATTTTACACATTATTTATAAGTATCTACATTTGTGTAAAGTGCAATTCTGAGTCTCAATTGTCAAACTTACAGGCTTTATAAAAGCATATCTGTTAATAGTCAGTTGACTGTAAACACACAAGACAATTAAATGAATAAATAAAGTCTTTATTTTACATAAAATAGGGTTTCTCTTCATAAAAAATTGCATATACACAAGTTTGTATAAAAACACACAAGTGCACACTTTGATACAAAAGTTATTCATCCAGTACAAAAATGTTGTCACATATCTAGCACAAAATATACAGGTTGCCTGAGGGCTTCCTAGAGTAACGTTAGTGTATCCCCTAACAGACGCCGTATATGGGACCTGATACTATTTTTCCTCATTCGTTTACCTATGACTGGTCACCTCGTTATTTGTACAACATGGAAGGGACGAACTGGCTCATTCAGTTGCATTTACACATTATTGCTTCAACAAGGCAAATGTTGAATGCGGGGTGACAAGACACAAGTCAGCAGAACAGACTTCCTCATACACCTCAAGTCCCGTGCAGTTCTACCATTTGGAAACTTGAGGGGTGTTGCATCTGTGTGCATTGCTGGAAAATGCCGTCTGTGTGTCCAGTGCTCAATCAATGAACTCAAGTCCTTTATAAGCACCAGCAGGCAGCGTATCACCGACCTGGACTGATCCTGCGCCGTCCCTTCAGCACCAATCTTTAGTAGAGAGTGAAGCACCTGTAATAGAATAAAACAGCTATGAGTCACAGGCATATACTGCAAAAATTACAGCGATTCAGTCCATTCAGGAAAAAGAGGATTCTGAACCCTCTGAGGATAATGTTGTTATAATAAAGCGTTAGAGAGTAAAATAGCTTTTTTAAACTGGGGGCCACTTAGTTAAGGGCCCCTGGGTCTGTAAAAGTGGAGAACGCTTAAAAACTGCCCCTACCTGATTCATATCTGTCGAACCATGTGGTGAAGTCCAGCAGCTCTTGCTCCTCAGAGCTGAGATGCTCGTAGCTGCCCTCATCGGAGGAATAAGCTGAATGAGGAGACTCCGAGCCCGCCGAGTACGCGTTGGAGACCGACGGAGACGGGACGCCGCACTGCAACACGGCAGACACGGCGTCGTGCTCGTCCAGCAGCTGCTGAAGCGCTCGGATGTACTCCACCGCCGAGCGCAGCGTCTCCACTTTGCTCATCTTCTTGTTCGCCGCTCCGTTGGGCACATGCTGGCGCAGCGTCTGGAAGCCCATGTTCACCTGCTTGACGCGGTTTCTTTCGCGTTCGTTGCGTCTGGCCACCGCCATGGGCTGCTGCTGAGGGATGGTATAGCCGAGTCCGTTGAAGGTCAGTCTCCTCTTGCACCTGAGCAGTTCTGGGCTGCTCGAGCGCTGTCTCTTCAGCACTTTACACTCCCTGTCCTGCTTCGCTTGAGGTACGAGGGTCTCCAAAAAAGGCTGGTAAAACACATCTTGAGTCATTTGCGTCGTAGCGATGACAGCTGCCTCCATGTCGTGGGAAATAAATAGATAAATAGATGGGGAGTTTGCGAGTAATGCGCAGCTCTCGTGCCTTTCGCGTGGCTCGCAAGAAGCGATTCACCTGTTCAGCGAATGATTTGAGGGTAAAGCAACTTGCTCTCCCTTTTCTACACGTGCGCCACACCTCCACCCCCTTTTGGGCCGCACGCTCCCAAAGGAAGACCCGCCCCTGCATGAATCCCCTGCTCGGGCTTCGCGCGCCGGGCGCGTGGCTTTGACAAACTCAAAGGACCTATTCTGTGCGCTCACTGCGCCACGCGTACGAGGCGCTGCCTATGTCTGTGAAATCATGCTCACCCGGCGCACAAGTATGTTCCGCGTTATGGAACGTAAAACTTAAGGTGTTGACCATTGATATAAAAAAAAACGATGGAGTGACGTCCATTTTTTAGAAGTTCGTGTTACTATAACTCACCTGTTTGTCAGTCTGTCAGTCTGCGTGGTGCTTTGGATAACCTGCTAAATAGACGTGGGTTCAAAACAGCAAAATCACAAAACAAGACTGACATGCCAAAGTGACAAAAACTACCATGTTACAAACATGTTTTTTCTTTCTTTCTGAATATAGAAGAATAATTTCGGTATACTATAGCCTACTGTGTATATTGAAATTGCCATCTGATACCATGACTGTTACTGCCACAGTTTTGTTAGGGGTATTAGGCAAACAAGTACATGAAAGTTTTGAATGCATATGTAACTTTCATCCTCTGGAATGCATATATGGATTAAAAATAACTCTTTTAAGACGTTTTTGATCAATTAGATTGTGTTAATCAGGATTTTCATTTATAATCATGTCTAAATGTCATGGCTAAATGTCTCCACAAGAATATCAAAACCTGTGTGGATCATTCGATTTAATGTTTTCTTAATAAAAATGTAACAATGCAGAACGGTTTGTCTGAGGGTTCCGTTTAGGGCAGGGGTAGGCAAGTTCGGTCCTAGAGAGCCGCAGTCCTTGATTAGGGGTGGAGCTGAACTCTGCAGGACTGCGGCTCTCTAGGACCGAACTTGCCTACCCCTGGTTTAGGGATAGAAATCATTATCGCAATATAAACACAACAGAAGTCAATGGAAAGTCTCTACAATGTATTTGTGTGTGTCAGTGTGTGTGCTCCTACCCTAAGACTGCTGCAAGTGAACTGTCATTAGTATATAGTAAAGCACTATCAACAAGATCAACTGATAATGCCAGCTTGCTATGTACTTTATAATGAAGCAAAAATCTGAAAACTCTTCAATGAGGCTTTTAAATACTTTTTAATAAGTTTGTGAGTAAAAAAAATAAAAATACAACACAATAAAAAATAGCTGGCAACCCTTTATTTTGACGGTCCCTTTTAGACATTCGGGTGACTATAAGTAACTACAAGTCATTAGAGTAGTTAGTAGACTGTCTGCTTAATGTCTGCTATTTATATTTTTTATATTTAATATCTGTGATTTTTATGGTCCCTCAACAGACATTCTACTGAATAAACTTGCATGTACATATCAACTTATTAACCATAACCTAACAGTCTTATACTCTGAGTTAGATGATGTGTAGTTGCAAAGTTACTTATAGTCAACAGAAATGTCTAAAGGGAACCATACAAGTAAAGTGTAATCAAATAATTTACACTTTAAACTTTACATTTGATATGCTTTGTTAGAATATTTATATGTTGAGGTAAACATGTAGGCCTGCTTTTTTACTTTTTAGCTCATTCAAAGCATATAGGCAGACAGAAAGAGACTTTGGTAAATCCAATGATACTTTTGTATCTGGATAAGTTTATTGAACAATTCATTACATGTTGAAGCCTGGACTCCACAGCAGCAATATTTACCCTCCACAAACAGTGAAATTGTGAAACGTAAATGTATAAAGATCACCCCCTAGCGGCGACAATATGTTTCTACAAGACAACATATCCACTGAACAATTTCTTACTGAGAGGAGACTACAGAAAACTTGTGTATGTTCCCCAAAATAATGTTAGATTCCTCCATTTCATGCTAAATCAAGAAATATACATTTTATGTAATAACGTGTTGGAAACATTACAATGCTATTGTCTGTGCAAGTTGGTATTTTAATTAATTACAGTACTTAAATATGTGTTCAAGTTGTGTTTTACAATATTTAAGGAATGACACATTTGTAGTCTGATGTAGGCTTTAACAGCCTTTCCCATCAAGTCAAATGAGTTTTTATTTGTATTATTTGTTATTATTGTTTGTTCCATATGCCCTGTCTTTAGGTCGAAGCATCAGGAGCTGAAAACAAAAAATATTTAAGAATTATAAAGGGAAGAAGACTAAATGCATGTTGTATTTCTCTGTAAATAAATGCATTTACTTCAAGGGAACAGCAACTCCGTCCTTCGTTGGTGTCCATTAAGGCAAGTTTGTTTTTCCTCAAGTCCTCTATAAGACAAAGCACAGTGTTCACCTGATTTCATTTCAATACGTTTAAAACTAAGATGAGTCAAACATACTTTAATAAAATGATTATGTAATGCTCTAATGAGAACACACAAAAAAGAGTGCAAATCACATGGCAACTTACATATTAAATTTGCTTGACCGTGAATCTTCTAACCATTCTTGCCAGTCATTCCATTCAAAGTATTCATCACAGTTACTGTATTTACAGGGACTGTGGACAGTCAGATACTGCCCTTGCCACTGCTCTGTCAGTGTGTTCAGCCGTATCATAATCTTCCTTATCACTTCCCATGCTTTCTGGATGTCTTCTGAAGTTTCAACTACAAGAAGGAAAATTATTATCGCAACATATAATCATTGCCGTTAATAGTGGTTTTTACTGTACATTTCTGCCATATGGACAATGGACATCACCTTGACATAGTCACCACTGACAAGCTACTCCTAAATATAATGTAGAAACTATAATTTTCTGTGAAGAGAATTCCGTTAATCTGCTTTGCAATGATTTGTATTGTGAAAAGCGCTATACAAATAAACGTGAAGTGAATTTAATTGAATGTAGAAGACAAAAAAAACATCCCCTAGTGCCAACAATATGTACAATAAAACTAAGAAAGTATAGATTTAATAAATTTGTAATTCTATTTTAGAAAAAATATAATAAATATTAATGCAGCCTTTGTGACCATTAGAAACGTCTATAATAAAAATCTTACTAAGCTCAAATCTTTGAAGAGTAGTGTATTTATATTTAAAGTATCTGCTTGAGAGGCTACAAATGTAAATCATTGCTATACAAAGTGTAATAAAACAGGGGACTTACGCTCAGTCTCTTTGCAGCGGATCTCAATAAACTGGTCCTCATCACGGCGTTCTCTGAGCAGAAACCGTCTGTTACCACAGCACAGCACACACTGGTCTTTTCCGATCCAGTATGGAGAGTATAAGGAGCACGCCCTGATGACAAGCCTGTAAAGCAAGAATCAGTTTTACATGTCATTACTAGTTATCCCAGTGTCAATACTAGTTACAATCAAATCAGTTTGAAGTAACTTTTTGATCATCAGGGTATCTGGGTTGATGACACATGACCGCAAAACACGACAGCTAATAGAGTGAATAAACCAGGAATGTTCTTTAATGAGCTGTATTTCTTTATTTTCTCTGAAAGAGACAAGCGTAAGCATTCACCTGTGAAAGAAACCATGTGGTATCTCAGGTAGGAAGTAAACATGGATATTTAGGTCCTCTTGATTGTCTGATACCCACTTTTGCTCTACCTGTTCGTTGTCTGGCAGGTAACTTGGGAACAGACAAGCATCTGGCTCATACACAATCGGATTTGAGGGCACCCAATTTTTCTTAGGACAGAATTCGTTGGCTTTTGGATTGAGAGGACCGTTATGTTTGGTCGACAAGCATACATCAAAGTGTTTTAGTAGTGAAAGGAGACTTCCTTCCTTCTTATTGGACCCAACCACCTCCTCAATTAGCTCTTCATCAGTAATGCCATAATTCTTCTGGAGCTCAGTCCGCACCAGGATCCTGATAGCCCCATTGTTTAAGGATGCTCTGTGTTTATAGTCGCCGATCCATCTTTTCTTCTGTACTGCAAGTGCATTTTCTGACTTCAGCTGTGCAGAGGAAATCTTGTTCAGTTCCTGGACTAGGTCATGTCTCACAATAGTCTGTGACAGAATTAAAAGAAAAGAAATTACGAAGGATTTTATACACTGATTATTTTATGGCTATTCAAATACATTTATTGGTTGTGGTTTAAATGTTTGATGCATGAACCTTAAACAATGATGAGGAATGATGTTTCTACAAACAAAGAACCAGCCAATTCTGGGATTTCCTTGTACCACATAATGACTCCAATTCGGTGAAGATACTGAAGAATTAACTTAAGTTTGTCATCGTCCAGTGTAATATGTCTGTTCTTCAGTTCATACAAGAGGGTGCTTTGACTCACAATTCCTGAAAGTAGGTGCAAATTTCAGAATTAAGAAACTTATTTAAGAACAAACACACCAAACATTGTAATCTAAAAAAAAACAAAAAAAAAACTGACCATGCTCAGCAATGTCACCGTTTTTCAGAAGTTCTTTGATATCCTTCTCCACCTCATAGTAGCATCTAGGTAATGTCTGTTCTATGCTGGGGAATGTAGCTGTGTTCAAATCCTCACTTTTGATGTGATCACCTAGCTTGACAATGTCCTCCTTTTTAGTGCAATCTATAGGTACAAAGTCAAGTACCTGAAAATGAAAGGAGACAAAGAAGATCATGGCAGCACATTTTATTCAATTCTATTAGATTATAAAACAGCAACTACAAAGCCAAATTACCTTTAGTTTGTACTCAGTCAGTCTTTCAATCTGATTTATCTGGTCATAGTACAAAGATGAGTCCTCCTTATCCTGGAAGTTCTTCTTACGCTGCTTTAAATTAGTTGTATGTGTTTCAAGCATTTCCTTCACCTGGTCTTCGATGTGTTTTTTCTTTTCTTTCACATCATTCTCATCTGTGCATTGGTCAACATGAGTGCCCACAAGCAGAACTACTGAGTCTGGTATCTTAAGCTGAAGGTTTTTGATCCAGAATCCCACATTCTCCTTGAAACTCTGGGCATCCATGTTATAACTGAAAAAAAAAAAAAGTTGAATGCATTGCTATTTGGTGGCTGGGGTGTTATTCCAACTGGCCCAATAGTGAAAAAAAGTCCCCTAAATCTCTATAATATTCTGGTTTTGCCCATTTTATAGTCCACAATGCAAAAATTACACATCTAACCGTTTATTAATAGTGATGTTTCCTAATAAAAGAATACATTCTCAACAAGTTGTACATGCTTTACCTGGAAAGGTTGATGGCAAGTATGACAAAGGCTTGAGCTGTTATAAACACATGATGGGTGATGTAGTATTCCTCTTGTCCAGCAAAGTCCCAAAAGATAAAACGGATACCCTCATTATCAACTTCACTGATTTCGATCCCTACCGTACGATCATCCTCGGCCACTGGTACAGGGCAACCCTGCTTCAGACTGCGGCACAGAGTGGATTTCCCTGCCATGGAGGTCCCCAGAAACATAGTCTTCACAGTTTTCTGATTTGGGGCGTTTGCCTCAAGCATCGCAAAGTAACTCTGAATATCTCTCAATCTCCCTGCACAGACCTCCTGAGGGGGTTTTCTAAGAGGGTTACCATTAGCTTTGAACAGAGTTAAGCTACTGTTTTGAAAGAGTAGGTCTGGTAGGTCAGCTAACTGGTTCCTCTCGACATATGTGTGAAAGGCCCACAAGAGGATCCAAATTCCTCAGGCAGTTGTTGGACAGGTTTAGGCAGTTGAGATGCTGGCACCTGTTCATGTCCTGGGGTAGCTTTTCAAGTCGATTGGTGCTCAACTTTAGAAATCGAAGTTTCTCCAAGGACGGAAAGACATTTTCTGGAATGGTTTTGATATTGTTCTGATTGATATATAGTTTCTCCAGCTGGTGTAACCCTCTAATGTCCGTGGGGAAATCAGTGAACTCATTCCTGCACAGGTAGAGCTCTGTCAAGTTTTTCAGTTGAGTGATACCACTGATTTGTTTGAGCCTATTCCACTGTAGATCTACCTTTACTGCATCTCCACCCCTCTGGAGAAGCTCATTGGGAAGTGCTTTGAGTTTCTTTCCAGCAAAGTCGTCTTCTTTTTTGGCATTTTGATTTCCTATGGTAATATTATTGTTAATGTAATAATAAGAATAAGAATAAAATCATGCTTATTTAAACTTTATAACAAACATACTCCTAACGTCTTATTCTTAACCTTTTCATAGATGACTCGGAGTAGTAATGCATATATATTTCAACATGAATTATAAATTAATGTTTTCTGTCTAGGCAGCAAAAATAATTAAATCTCTGTGTCAGTTTGTTAGGATTAGCAATTATATCCACTACAATGATATAGCAAAACCTCGGGAGTGACCCCTAACTAATTATAATATACTGTGTTCCCATTTCTTACATGCAAGCAAATTTGTAGCATTTCTTACAGATCAAGATAAAAACTAAAAAGTGTGTTTAACATACCATTTAAAAGGGGCATGTTGATGAGATGCTAAAGAAACTCTTTCGCTCGTCTATGTGACAGATAGGTGATCTACTTCCTTATGTCTCATAGAGCAAAGTAGGGACGGACTTTTAACCGAGCAGTACAACTGATTTTTACTTTCATTTTCTGGAAAACGTAGCAGTATCTAGTTCAGTTTCTGTCAGGTGATTTATACAGTCATGTAAAAACGAGGCGGTACTGCCATCATCTGGCTAAAATGTGAAACAATGTGCATACGAAATGAAATAAGACTCGTACCTAGAAAGTATAGTTCAAGGAAAAAATTAATTTCTATTATCATTCATGTTTTGAAATGTCTCAGCGCCAATTTTTTATTTTTGGTAGAATGGTGTCATTACACACATGGGGATGGGGAAGCATAGAGAAAGTTGGGGGCAGTCGTGGCCTAATGGTTAGTGTGTCAGACTTGTATTCCAAAGGTCGTGGGTCTGAGTCTTGGTACAGGCAGGGATTGTAGGTGGGGAGAGTGAATGTACAGCGCTATTCCACCCTTCCACCCTCAATAACTGAAGTGGAACCCTTTGGCAAGGCACCGGACCCCCAATTGTTCCCCATGGTGCCACAGCAAAAATGGTTGCCCACTGCTCCGGGTGTGTGTGCACTTGGATGGGTGAAATGCAGAGCACACCATACTTGGTCACACGTCACATCCTTTCCTTCCCACCCATTTAATCAGCAAAACGCCAAAGAGTTAGAGTGCAATGTTTTAGCTGTGTCACCTTGAATCATGATGCCAGCACAGTTCATCCGTCACAGGAATGTCTATGGAAAAAAAAATAGTTTGCTGCATGCATCATATTACGTTGTGGAAAATTGGTGAGCTTTCTCTCGTGGATAAAGTACTGTAGGCTTCCACAGGCTCCTTCAATTTATTTGCCCAGCTGATTCTTTTGAACGTTTTTTTTGCTTCAATTCTATTTCATGGTTTAAAACATTTGAACTGAACTTAATTTTTTTATTCAGTTAAAAATTTCTGTTTATTATTGTTTTCAAAATGTCAGTTAAGAGTGGTCACTTTTAAAGTGTAAAGAAATGATGGGTTTGCCAAGTATAAATCCAATAAGCTGCAGAATAGAAAACAATAGATGAAAGGCTTTGATAAACACTGAGGAAAACACCATACACCATCATAAACTTTAACGCAAGACATGTAACTGAGTAAACAGAGAGCTTATATACACAGGGAGTGTTAATTAATAGAACAAGGAACAGGTGTGCAACTAAATTAGGAAACACAAACTATTGGCGGGAGAAATGAGAACAAAGGAAACGGGTAGAAAAACAAGGAACACTAGAAGTAAACCAAAACACAATGTATCCGTATGTTAGCAAAGAGAACAATATTTTTTGGAAATGTTGCTGAAAAATGCTCTCATTATGAATGCTTAGCTGCAGCTTAGATTTTTTTTGACACATAAAAATTTAAGGTAGTCACATTGGCTATATATAGACACAACACTAGTATCATACCAAACAAGGCGTGACGCAACAATTACGCATTTACGAAATGCTTTTGATTGGCTGCACCTATTCCCATAGGAAAAATATATTTTATTGCTCAGTGGTTGCTCTTTCTATTTTAGTCTCAACAGTGTCTCAGATGCTTCTCCTAAAAATCCTTAGGAGAAATAAAAGTAGACACAACTGAGACGAGAAAGTTCTGAAAGAATGGAATCCAAAATGACAATGGGAGAGAAACATGGGAGATCTCTTTATTGTCATGCTGTAATCTCTTGCAAGACTCCATTATAAAATTGTTTTACATCTCAGAGGTTGCTTTTTTATTGCAATGGGGATTTTCACCTTTAATGGTCATGACAGTAGGAGTAGAGACAGGAAACAACTGGGCAGGTGAGAATTGAACAGGAGCAGGGCAGTACCTTTAACTCATGCTGTCTGCAGTGCAGTTGTGCCTTCACATTGATGTGCTGCCCACGAGGCTATGGCTCTGACAGAGGTTACTCTACGCTCAGGATACTAAGGGGTGATTATATGTCTCATTGAGATATCAGCTTTGTCTTAAGATGTCTTCAGTTTTATTTTAGGAGAAACGTTAAAGTTTTAGTAATATTGTAAATACTAAAACTATCATTTAAATAGCATTAAACATTTCAGAATATCAAGGGTTACTAGTTTCAATTTATCTTCAATGTCCAGCATTGAATATACACCATATTTTCCAAACAAACTGGATGCAACGAATCATCCACTGAAGGGGAGTTAAAGTGAGAACCCAAGTGCAGTTTATTTACAGTCATCCAAACATAATCCAAACAGACGAAGACTAGAAACAATAATCCGTGACTTGACTTGACATGAACAGACTTGACTTGACATGAACAGGACTCACCAACAGCGAGTTACAACTTCAATACACGACGAAAACTATGGCAACATGATGGCTACTTATATCAGACAAAGAGGGTCACATGACAAGAACAAACCAATGGGAAACAAGACACATGACTAAGACAACCAATCAGAACATGACACAAAGAACAGAGGAACCAATGGCATGAAGACAAGCGGGCAAGGGAAGCATGACACTAACAGAATGAAATAATTCCAAAATAAAAGACATGAAAACATGAACATGAAACAAAACCCAAACACAAAACCCCACATTACACTAGAAAGGACTTACAAGTGCAAGATATTTAGTATAAGAGCAATACCTTTTTTCAACAAATGTAACACTAGTTTTTTTTTTTTTTTTAGCTTTCTAGCTTTGTTTAGCATTAAAATTTTGTCTTGTACAGCCCATTTTTGCATGTATGTAAATATAGGCTATGTTTTCCTCTGTTAAATCATTGTGCAATAAAACTCTGTCTACATAAAACAACTTCAAATATGACAATGCATGTATTGTCTTTGAAATGGTGTGGATAAATTGCATTGAAGCTAACTAGAGGGAAGAAAAATAAAATTAAAAAGAGATCTCTTCAACATTTCAAACATTTCTCCTAGACAGAAATGAGATTATTTTAAGATTGAATGGAAACTTTTGCTTGAGTCTCCTGCTTCTCAAACTTGTCTCCTGAGACAAAAATTTGTCTCCTCTAAATTTCAGAAGTGATCTCAATAACTTTACAAAGTGTACACCAAGTCAAATGCCTCAATATGACCTCAAACATGTCTACCATATAATATGCATTAATAATCAAATTAGTCAAATAATAATCAAGACTGAGTCTTAAGCCATTTATGTGCCTTTCAGCAAAGAAAGCTAAGTGGCATAACATTTCCATCACGCGCTTGAGTCATTTGGCCAATCACAACACACTGGATAGCTGGCCGATCAGAGCACACCTCGCTTTTCAGACCGATGAGCTTTGTAAAAATTGACGCGTTTCAGAAAGGCAGGGCATAGAGGAGCAACAATAATGTACATTATGTGGAAAATAATGTGTTTTTTGAACCTTAAACCGCATAAACACATTGCATTACACCAAATACACAAACTAATGCTCTTTTTAGCAACGTCAAATGACCCCTTTAAATTTTCAGACTTTCTCTTTTAGAAAAACAGCCCAAAATATGAATGACCCATTCTGCACTAGACTAGACTTTTGTCAAATCAAATGTCACTTCCTCTAAAAACAGTGGTTCTCAAATCTGGCCCTCGAGTTCCACTTTCCTCCAGAATTAGCTCCAAAAACAAAACACACCTGAACAGGCTAATCAAGGTTAGTGAGTTTTAGGCAAGTGAGTTTGATAAAGGTTTGAGCTAAACTCTGCAGAAAAGTGGACCTGGAGGGACAGAGACGACAAAACCCTGCCCTAAAACCACCTGTAGGTCTCTGTTGGAAAAAAACAGCATATGCTGGTTAGGTATGTTTTGAAGCATGACTGCTGGTTTGAGCTGGTTTAAGTTGGTCCTTAGCTGGTCATGAGCTGGTTTAAGCTGGTCATGTGCTTGTTGTATCTTGAAATTATTGTTGAGATTTCATGGGTGGTACAGGGATGTGACTGTCGCTATGAGTGATAATGGTCTCAAGTAGAATCTCAGTAGAATCCTTAGAGCAGAGTCTAAACCAATTAAGACTGCAACTGTATATCAGTGGATGTATATAAGTAGCTAAGGAACATTTTATTTTGTGATTTGATTAATTCTACTTTTAGTGTATCACTTAATTCACCTATGCCTCAACCATCTGCCACTGGTAATGATTATTTTCAGGAAAAACCCTGGGTGAGAGTTCACTGGTTTTAAACCACAGTTTTACTTGAGATTCACCATGCCACAACATATCACCACTCTCATGTGATGATGATGGTGTTAATTCATCTTCAGAACAAAGGATTTCCAGACCAACTTTAATGTTATTGTAAAATATAAATAGTTAAATCATTTAAATGAAGTTTTAATTATAAAATCAAACCTGTTTAAGTATAAAAATGGTTTTGTGGTGCTAAATCTTAAATATGTTTTGATCAGTTGTATAATATATATGGATATAAAAGTATTTATGTGTTTTGACTCTCCAAATTGCACAGTGGGAATAATAATAAGCTTAAAATCTTGTAATAATTTCTTTTTATTTTGGTATGTTTTTAGTTAGTGAAATATATGTAAATTGTTAAAATACATTCAAATGTTTCATAATTACAAAGACAAAGACAGAACTGTATTTACATAGACTTATTCTTGTGTTCACAAATGCATTTCACAGAATATCATACAAAAGAAAATATAATTAACATATTCAGACAAAATGAAGTAGACATAATATAAAGTGAACAGTGAATAATTCCTCGAGGTTGTACTCCAGACTTTATCGCCATGATGTCTCTCTCGATGACAGGACTGCAAGACACACACAAAATGGAATGAGGTTCTGGGCTTCATGGAGGATGCTATATGTTGTTCAACACACTTTTGGAGGTAATGTTTCACATAACAGATATAGGGAAGACTGACGAAAGGAAGAAATGTAAAAAAAGAAAAAGAAAAAAGCTCTAGCTTAAAAAACAGCAGCATAAAAGCTCAAAAACAAACATCAAAATGCTCCATTTACAGTCAGACAGCCTGACCTTGAGTCTGTTGCGACATTTCTGTACACCCACGTGATTACTCTGAACAGCATCCACTGGAGGCACTTCCATAGAAGGATGTGAAAATTAATAACTACTTAATTTATTTCTACTTAAAACACTTGTTCCAGGCAGGAACCACAGAGCAAAGCACACCGGTAGCTCATGATTCACGTGAGCCTGCACGAAAGAACCCCAAGGCAGTGCAGGTTTCAGCAAAATGGGAAGCCGATCATTTTTTGTGGTAGTTTGACAGTCACTATTAACACACAGCAAGATGCAGCTATCTTGTTGTAGAAAACCACAGAAAACAAAGTGAGTACAGTGTTTCTGTTTTCTGGCTCAAAAAATAACAAACTAATAAATATAAATGTCGGAAGTCTTGTTGGCAGTACAGTTGAATTGTCTGATCAGAAAAATGCCCATTACAGTGCTTTTGACAAGACAAAGAGCCACCAGTGAGGACAGGAGGTGTGCAAGTGAAATATTGTGCATTCTGGGAAGCAGGAAGAGGTAGAGGTGCAGAAGATTTAGGCCAGCAGAGGGCAGCGGTATGCAAGCTGTGTGTCACACATACACACCCTCTGGATGAAGGCTGGAGACAAGTGGGTTCTGGAGGCTGCGTGGGTTTCCCAAGATTTGCTTGGCAGTGGTCCGAGGGTTAAACTCCAAGATGGAGGAATTCGAATCTGTCATAAACACACAAAAAAAACCTACTGTTAAGCTTTGCCAGCTTCAGTTGTTTGGTTAGGTATAGTCAGTGTCCCTCTGAAACCACCAGATAGTATCTTTTTTTAAATTTGGAAAACACTTTACCCCCATGTATGGTAGAAAAGACCTTGTTAACTAGTGGCTTGTGAAAACTGTCTGTAGCTTTACACACCTTCATCACTCTGTCCATCAGGCTTGAGGAGAGTAAAATCGATCTCTTCGGTTTGCTGATTGGATTGTGCTGGAGTGACTCCTGTTTGCTGGATGAATTGTTGCAGGTTACACTGGCGTAGCTCTTTATTCAGATCATCCAGTTCCATGCTTTTAGCCTACAGGGGAACATAAGAGAGATTTAATGTTGGGCTGGAGAAAAAGCTGAAGCAGTGACTTTCAAACGGCAATGTTCCTTTATCACACAGTTCTCTTTTCTTGTAATGAAACACCCACACAGACTTAACCTCTACAGTGAGATCAAATGTCCAAGCGGTGTGTCTTAAATGTCATTTTTCATACAGTACGTTCCTACCATGAATAGTAATAATTGTTATCTACTGTGGTTCCTGCTTAATCATCACAGACATATTGTTTCTTAAAGATGCTGCCTTTGCACTACTAGATGAGTCTTGTTTTGTTTTCCATAAACTTACTCATTTTTATTTCACCCTTTAAAGGTGTGACTAGTATTGTTGGTAATGACAACAACCTGTAGGATGAATGAATATAGTACTGCCCTTGCTGATGGGAGTGAGACAACAAATGAAGCAATAGTGAGGTAGTGTGTATGGTGCCCAGAGGTTTAGTTAGTCATGGTGAGCACACAACATGCTTTTGTGTGACTGCAATTAATATATCGGTGTGATTCAACAACTAGTACAAAGATGTTTTATTTAAGGTATACTGTACAGTCAGCAAGTCATTACCGCAAACTAAACCCTGACAGGGTGGTCCAAAATACGTGGACATGAAATGTTGAGTTTGAAATCGTGTTATAATCCTATAATCAAAGCTTCTGCAAATAAAAAATTTACATTGCAACATAGTAACAAGACAAACTGTCACGTTACGCTGCTGCGGGAAGAACATAGGAGACACAGAGTAGCATTCACAGTCTTTAATGATGAAAACACGGGATAATCCACAATAGGAGCTGGGCAAACACACGTAGAAACAAGTAGACCTGACAAACACAAACTGAACAGACTAGGACTTTTAAACACAGGGCAATCAGGGGAACATAGGTGACATCAATGGAACATAATCAAACTAAACGAGGACAGGAACATGACCAAATAAGGAAACACAGGAAGGACTACGGGGG